TTGTATCGCGTGCCACCAGAGGTTCTCTTCGCCTCGCGTAAAATAAATACGAGCGGGAATAAGGCGAAAGATACAGAACCTCTGGCAACCAGGGTAAATAAGCAGCGGATTGGACCAGATCGGATCAAAACAAAATCCGCGCATGCGCCATCAATAGAAATTTTTGGTTTCGATTGTCCGGCGACGTTGCTGGCCAGATACTAAAAAGTTGAAATATTTTCAACTTTTTTTGGTCCGGTCCGCGGATTAAACCTGTCGATCAATAAAAATGCTGTAGGATTAAACCTGTCGATCAATAAAAATGCTGTATTATCTTGATTAAACCTGTCGATCAATAAAAATGCTGTATTATCTTACATAAATTAAAATAATTGAATAATACTGTATAAAATTTACAAATGGAGGATAATTTAGTTTAATAGTTTAAATGATTGAGTTTTCTTATTTTTCTTGGAGAATTTCACCTTTACAACTCTAACTAGGCCGTCACTTCCTTGATACGCTTCGATCACACGGGCAAGTGGCCATTCTCCCCTATTTGCTTTGGGTTCCGCAATCATTACCACATCGCCTTGTTTCAGGTTATGTTTGGGATGAAACCATTTCTTGCTTACACTAAGGCGTGGAAGGAACTCCTTTCTCCAGCGCTTCCAGAACAGCTGTAACAATTGTTGTAATCGATGCCAGCTATTACTAGGTTGTTCGCTTCAACTTGATCAAGAGCTTTAGGAGCAAATACCCCACCGATCTGGCCGATTATAAAATGATTTGTAGTAAGTGGGGACGGGTCGTTTGGATCTGAACTCACATAAGTGGGCCGTGAGTTTACCAATATTTCAGCTCCACACATTGCGGACTGAAGTTCTTCATCCGTCTACATCTGCAGTTCTACATCTGCATCTCCTAGGACAATCTTTATTGCCTTCTTGGTGCTCTTTATCATAGCCTCGAAAACCCCTCCAAAATGAGGGGCCGATGGAGGATTGAATTTCCATTCAATAGGTTGATACTTGGTGGTTTCTTGGGCAATTTTGTCGTGGTTAAGAGCTTGAACTAATTTTCTCATCTCCAGCTCTGCGCCCACGAAATTGGTCCCATTATATTGGTCCCCGAAATTGGTCCCCGATATAACATATACGGGCGTCCCCCTCCTCGATACCATTCGCGTAAAGGCATTGATGAATGAAGCCGTGTCTAATGAGTATGACATCTCAAGGTGAACAGCCCTTGTCGCTAGACAAGTGAATAGGCATAGGTATCTCTTTGCTTTGGCCTTGCCTCGTCCTTGCTTCGTTAGAAATGGGCCTCCATAATCCACTCCAACTCTTTCGAAAGCTCGTAACGATTGAAGTCGCGGTCTGGGCAGCGGTGCCATCTTCTGCTCTGCTGTTTTTACAGAAAAACGTCGACATTGCGCACATGACTCAACGATATTCCTTACAGCGCGTCTTCCCTTAACGATCCAAAACCGACTTCGTAGCAGTGTTAGAACCTGCTCAACTTCGGAACCATGTCCGAGTTCTTCATGTGCATCCTTGATGATGAGTCGGGTCACCACGTGCTCTTTTGGCAATAAAATGGGGGTGTCTTGTGTTGTAGGATAGTTCATCCGCAAGTCTTAAGCGTCCGTCCATCCTCAGAAGACCATCGTCACCGTTCTTTGGACTAAGTCGCAGTAGACATCCTTCTCGCTCTCCTTTCGGGAAAGCTTCTCCTTGCGCTTGCTTGATCCACCACTTTTCCACATTAAGTATTTCAGTTGAACAAAGCGTTCTGTCCCGTTTTCGTAATTCCCTTGGAAGTCTGCAGTTTGTAACGAATCGTTGAACCCATCCAGTCACACGACAAAGGCGACGGAAGGTAGAAAAATGGTTTGGATCAACGCCCAGGTTAACGCGTGCCTGGACCATGTACGTCTGTGCCACTGTCTTTTCAACATCTTCAACTTTCGTCTCCTCTCTAACGGAAGGCGCTGATGGCCCCGGGTCGCTAGATTGGCTGGATTCTGTATCCCAGTTACATGCCTCCATTGCTCGGGACTGGTCGTCCGTTGAATTTCTGCGATACGGTTGGCTACGAAGGGTTTAAACTGCTGGCTGTGGTTTCGTACCCAATACCACACATTCTCGGAGTCAGTCCAAAAGATCACTCGGTCGACAGTCAGGACTTTCAGAAGACTTTGAGCTAAACGGCTTGAGAGAATGGCACCCATAAGCTCCAGTCTTGGAATCGTCATCGCTTTGGTGGGGGCTACACGGCACTTTGATGCGACAAGGCGTGATGTAGGGCTATCGTCTTCATATTGGCACACTAAATAAGCGACTGATGCGTAGGCGTCTTTAGAGGCATCCGAGAACAGGTGTAGTTCCATCTTATTCGGGTTTGCGAGGCGTAAGCAGCGTGGTAGGGCGACATGCGATAACTGCGAAAGTTCTGTAGCCCAGTTCTTCCACTTAGTTGCTAGATCACTTGGAAGGTTGTCATCCCAATCCAACCCTGCTCTCCAAATCTCCTGCATGAGAATTTTAGCCCGAACAAGGAATGGCGAGAGAAACTGAAGGGGGTCGTTTACAGCAGCTATGGGGCTCAGTACATTACGTTTCGTAGGGGTTATACAAATCTCTCTTCCTTTGGTACAAAATCTGTACCAAGCACATGATTGGTTAGTTATAATTAGCAGTCACATGACGTGATGTGATTGGCTAGACAAAAAAACCTGTTCATAAATCTCGGAGAACATGATGTAAACAAAATACAGAAATAATACGAATGTATTAAAATGATTTACTTAGTGTGGGTTATTTGAGATTAACTTAGACTTAATTTGTTCCGCTATAAAAAGATTTCCTGCACTGGAGAAGAGCTTCCATCGCGTCATGACTTGAGTTGACGGCATGACATGTTCACTCTATTACAGTATTAATATTTGTAAAATATAGTGTTAGTCACTGGCTTTATATCGTTCAAGGTTTTAAATTTTGATAATTCTTTGACTTTAATAGTTATTAATATGATTTATTTTGCCAATATTTTCCCATTGTCTGTTAAGGGCAACCATACTGGCTCCGTTGCACACACATACTAAATATTTATATATTTATATTCTTGCACTTTTGACTTTATACGTTCGCTAATACAAACGGCATTCCACATTCTTTTTTTTGTAATGAATAATCTACATGTTTGGTCTGCTTATTTCTAATATTTTACACAAGGCTGCCAAACACTGCAAACGGTCTGAAGAGAGCTATTTTGGTAGTATGACAAACCGGAAGTTTAAAAACGTCACAAAATATAAATCCGGTTTTGCAAGTTCTCAAACGGCAACGTCAGCATGGAAGAGAGATTTGTATCGCGTGCCACCAGAGGTTCTCTTCGACTCGCGTAAAATAAATACGAGCGAGAATAAGGCGAAAGATACAGAACCTCTGGCAACCAGGGTAGGTTTTAGACGGGTCTCCTTTGTTAATTTCAACCGCAGATAACCGGTCACTCTCGGGGATGCTTACGACAACTGATGGCTCGTTCGAGGACCATTTCCGCAGCCGAAAACCTGCCAAACCCAACAGGTCAGATAACTGAGGTCGCAGATCCTGGGCACTCTCTATAGTCTCGCTTGAATCTAAGACATCGTCAACATACATCGAGTTATCGACCGATTCCACTGCCGCTGGGAATGTCTCTGTATGTGCTTGAGCTTGGTTACATACTGTGCGCAGAATGGCGAGGCAGTATTGCCAAACAACAGGCGTCGAAACACGTATATACGTCGGGCTCTCTTGAAGGATCGAAATCTCGCCATAAGAATCTGTGGAAGGGACGATCATTGTCTTGTAGACCAACTTGCAGGAACATTTCAGAAATGTCTGCGCTCAAAGCAACTGGTGCTCGACGAAAGCGGGTGAGAACATCCACTATTTCTCGTTGTAGTTTCGGACCTGACCGTATGCTGTCATTTAAGCTCTTTCCGTCATGCTTCATTGCCGCGTCGAAGACAACACGAACTTTAGTCGTATCTTTGCTTGGCTTAATGACCGGGAAATGTGGGAGGAACCACTGCTGTTCTACTTCGGACTTGGGTACTTTCTGAATGTAGCCTTTTTTCTTATAGTCCTTGAATACCTTACTGTAGGCTTCTAGGATGCTAGGATGTTTCTTCCTGAGGAATTTCTCTTGACTTTGGAGTCGTAACAACGCCGCTTCGTCATTGTTAGTCAACTTCAGCTCTCCGTCCTTCCAGGGGATTCCTACCTCGTACAGACCATTTTCAAACTTTAGGGATCCAGCTACAGTTGCAGTTGCTGCTCTTTCGTCGGCTGTCATCGCCTGTTTCTCAGACGTTTCTTTGATTCCGAGGGCCTCAAGCTCCCAGAACTTGCGTAGAATGTCGTCCGGTGGTGGTTGCTGGTCTACATGGCAGGTACGGTACGTGCGTGTGAAGTGGGAACGAGAGTTGCGCCGAAACTCGTTGACCAACGTTGGCCCAAAACAAACCCAGCCCAAATTGGTTAGGCGTGCTACGGGATCACTTGGTTGGCTGCCTCGAACTTCTTCTAATACGTAGTGGAATACTGGATTATCGCTGTCAAGCATGACATCAATCTGCTGTCCCCTGCAAACATTGTCGAAAGGGATCTTGTGCAGGTGGGATTGTCGCAGGTGGGATTGTCGAAACATTGTCGAAAGGGATCTTGTGCAAGGTTTACGTTTTGTCCATGCAACCCAAGCTCCTCTGCTGCTTCCTCTGATACATAGGAACTGGTCGAACAGGGGTCAAGCATTGCATTGACATTTAACTCTCTGTTTCCATTACTAACCAGGGGCCGGTTGTATAAAAAAGTGATTAAAGTTAACTATGATTAAGTGCAAACGTCATCCAATAAGAAGCGCCTATTTGAGAGTTAATCACTATTTAACTACAAAATAATTTAAAAAAGTGATTAAGAGTTTTATACAACCGGCGCCAGGGCAGGTATTACCATTAGAGAGACGTTCTCTACTTTAGTTGTATTATGTGAACTTTCTTGGAGCTGGAAATTGGTTAGTGGCTGATTGTCATCACGTGTCTTATCATTATGAGGAGCCTCTCTATTTTGGTTCGATTGACCTGGGGGGGGGGGACGTATCTCGGTGCATCAGGTCGTAAGTGTCCTCCCACGTCGTCCTTGTCTTTTGGAGGGCTTATATGAAGGTAACTGCTGTGGCCTTTACTCAGGCACCCACCAACACCACACTGTCTCGCTTTGGTGCAATCTTTGCTTCAATGTCCAGCAGCCAGACAATAACAGCGTCCGGCCTTGGTAATTAATTATTTTCTCTTTAGGACGTGTAGATCTTTGAAAGCTTTACAAACCCACGGGGGGTGATCCTCTTTACAGTTTGGAACAATACAACATCGCGTGGCGAATCTAGTATTGAAGCCTCGAAAGCGTTTCTTCTGTTCAACACGGTTGTCCGTCCTTTTTCCAATGCCATTCGTTTCTTCTTTCGCCTCTTCCATAACTTGTACTCGCCATTCAACCCATTCTTCAAGTGCTTCAAAATTGTCTTCACGCGAGTGGTCCATCAGCCAATATTTGTAAGCTTGCACGTCTTCTTCTGGTAGTTTCTCTTTCGCGGGTACTGAAATTCAAGCTCTGTCCATGCAATGGTCCTGAGTCCTGAGTGGCGATCAATACTCTTTCTAATAGAACTTGAAACTCTTCCATATCTTCCAGATTTCGAGGATGAATTTTCCGGAAATTGCGCAAAGCTATAGGTGTTTTATCTGTAAACGTTTCTCCCCTCCATACTTCTTCTCCAATTTAGCCTTCGCTATACCCTATACCCAAGATCTTTCACCATGGTAAAAGCTTTACCGGACAAACAGCCTTGTAGTCCAAGCATTTTTTCTCCGACAGGAATATCACGACGGTCGACAACAGACAGAAATGTACCCTGGTTGCCAGAGGTTCTGTATCTTTCGCCTTATTCCCGCTCGTATTTATTTTACGCGAGGCGAAGAGAACCTCTGGTGGCACGCGATACAAATCTCTCTTCCATGCTGACGTTGCTGTTTGAGAACTTGCAAAACCGGTTTTATATTTTGTGACGTTTGTAAACTTCCGGGTTTGTCATACTACCAAAATAGCTCTCTTCAGACTGTTTGGCAGCCTTGTGTAAAATATTTAAAATAAGCAGGCCAAACATGTAGATTATTTATTAGAAACATGTAGACTATTCTCGCAACGCACAAAGCAAAAAACAACCTTACTGATTGTGGATTGCCGTTTGTATTAGCGAACGTATAAAGTCAAAAGTGAAAGAATATAAACATATAAATATTTATACATATGTGTGCAACGGAGCCAGTATGGTTGTCCTTATAAACAGACAACGGAAAAATATTGGCAAAATAAACCATATTAATAAGTATTAAAGTCGAAGAATTACCAAAATTTAAAACCTTGAACGATAAGCAAGTGACAAACACTTCATATTTTACAAATATTACTACTGTATAGAGTGAACATGTCATGCCGTCGACTCTCAAGTCATGCCGCGATGGCAGCTCTTCTCCAGCGCAGAAAATATTTTTATAGCGGAACAAACCCACACTGAGTAAGCATTTTAAATTTTTAAATACGTTCGTATTATTTCTGTATTTTGTTTACATCATGTTCTCTGAGATTTATAAACAGGTTTTTTTGTCTAGCCAATCACATCAATTCATGTGACTGCTAATTATAACTAACTAATCATGTGCTTGGTACAAATTTTGTACCAAAGGAAGAGAGATTTGTATCGCGTGCCACCAGAGGTTCTCTTCGCCTCGCGTAAAATAAATAGGAGCGGGAATAAGGCGAAAGATACAGAACCTCTGGCAACCAGGGTATTGAAGTCACGAAGGAATCATTGAATGCGAAGCGGGAATCGTTGACAAGAAAATTGCCATGTGCCATGTATTGATACACAAAACATTAATAACAGTTTATAGGGTTGATAGAATTTTAATAGAACGATTAAAATATTTATTTTCGGAGTTGTTTTATATTTTATTAAAATACTCAGTGATTCCCGTAATTTAATTTCTATGTTATTTACATATCACGTACGTTTAAGACAAGTCGTGACAGCAGAAAGGAACAGAACTACATAGATAAATTACAAACAATAGAAAAATTAGTTATAACTACTTTTTTGTAAGATTTAATTCTTAGACTTAGGAAACGTTTCACACACTGCGACTTAGGCCCGGTTTAGACGCCGTGCTTTTCATGAGCCGAACTTAATTCATATTTTACTCGAGTAAAATAGGCGTACTTCCAATTTTGATTTAGACAGGCGTGCTTTTCATGAGCCGTACTTAATAATTTGCGCTGCTTCACTTGGAAACCTGGGGCGAGTGACAATTCATAATAAGGAAAAAGGTTTATCACATACAATCTTGGCATTACTGAGCGTCTACAGGTTTGTGGTTATTAAAAATTTCAATTGCTTTTTGAAAAGCCTTATTACTACAAACATGGCATCATAATGCGTGGGAAAACGAGACCTATATAGGCTTAGGGCGAGTTTTTCCACGTTATTCGAGTTCTCCCAAACTACTACAAGTGTTTCTATAACTGTATGGGTCATACATAATAAATGTTTTATCTTTATTTCTTAATATAACTCAAAAAAGGATTTGTAGTAGACTCGATATATTTACAAATTCTCATTGCGTAATATTAATGCCGACCTTTGCTCCATCAATTTACTGCAAGAAACCCTTTTTGCCTTTATCAGCAAATATCGCTATATAAGCCTAATTTCGCAACTTTTATGCAAAGAGTCTAACGAAAGGTGTATCCTTTGCTACAAATTGACGTATACAAAGAAAAGAAAGGGAAATTCTACCGCGATATTTGTCGATAAAGCGGTATTAAATCACTACAGAAAAAATAGAATAAATTACAGAAATACAAAACAAGCCAGAAGCGGAAGTGGGAAGGTTTTGGTATTTTGACTGTATTAAACAATTCTTAATTTGCATTAAAATTGTTTTGTTTACGATTGTAAGTTTAGGCGGGAAATTTCCCGCGTAGAAACACGCTTCTCGACCAATCAACGCACGCGTACTATAAATGTTCTATTTTATCATAATTTATGCATTTGGTACGGCTCATGTAAAGCACGGCAGTATAAATCAACATGTGCTTCAGCCGTGTAGCACGCCTGAACCAGGCGAACTTATTAATTTAGCCGTGCTTAATATTAAGTGCAGTACTTAATTGATTTAGACGCCGTGCTTCTCATGTGCTTAATTCATTGTATTAAGTTCGGCTCATGAAAAGCACGGCGTCTAAACCGGGCCTTAGCAACAATGTTGATATTTTAAGTTTTATATACCAATAAACAATTTGGAAATTATCAGATAACTATACTAAACCAGTCATATTATAAGTATAGTAAAATTCTTGATTTGAGCTTGTTGATTTTTACCCCTAGCTTAGAGCATTGAGTGCTTGCATAAAGAACTACTTCCTTTCAGCTAAAACATTTGGTTTGCATGAATGCCATGTGCTGTCACGAAATATTAATTTTGCAATATATCACAAGTTTGAACATGATATGGCTAAGACGATGACGTCAGTATTACGTCATTTCAAACAAACCGACCTTATCGCGACGTCATCATATTTAACCTAGGCCATATAGGGCGAAGTGCTCTTCTAACGAACTGTGTTTGTGTAAATCTATCCTATCTATGTCATGTGTAGGCACTTCAAACCATAGATATCTTATATACACTAGATAGCGCATCTCTTTTAGTAAAATTGATGGCGGCCTTGTTGGTCGTTCCCACATGAATTGTTTAAAAACGTATTTGGAATAGGGTTAACTTAATGTTTAACTTCCCTGTTTAGGAAATAGAAAACATACGAATGTCCTCATTTCATGGGAACGACCTGAGACTGCAATCACAGCTTGAATTTTTGAATTGCAGAACTATTAGATGCACTATCTAGTGTATATAAGATATGCTTCAAACGTTAACTAATTTTTTTTATACTGAATAACATAGTTTTTAAACTGTAAACATTTATAAACTGTTCTTCCTAGAGGTCCAGTAAGTGTTATCCACAAGTATTTTTTCAGTGCTACCCCAAGATAATTTGGAATGTGCCATATTTGCAATAATGCACGATTTTGCCTAATGTAACGGTTACAGGCTCAATGCCACATTGTATCAAATTATGTCACATTACTCATTTAAATTGCAGAACATCATTTACAATTCTAACTAACCACATTGAAGAAAAAAAAAGCTCATGACTCGCACCTTGAGGTTATATCCGTTTCCGCAATTAAACGTGGTCGTATGTCTTTGTCAAAACCCACCGTGACCTGCCAAAATCGGAAACGCTTTCGTCAAATAACATTTCTAAACGTTTAACTTTAACTTAGGTTTCACTTCGAAAATTCAAACATAGCGTCGAAACGGGAAGAGAATTTGGCTGCTCACAGACATTTTTTTGTCTTTAATAAACAGTCCATTATGGGCAAAGAGATGCCACTATATACTGAGAATAATGGTCATTATATTGAACGAGACTTGGCTAAATTACGGCTATCACAACACAAGGTATGATTGTTTTTATTTGAATAAGGTTTTCATGTGTAGTTGCGAAGTCACGAAAATGGCGCACGTATTATAATGTAAGTCGATCCATAGCGCTTTTTAAAGTTAAAGTATTTATTTGGGACTATTTAATTATTGAGCTTGTTTATCAGATGGCAAATGAATATAATAATACTTGAGTTTTATTTGTATTCAAAAATAGTGGGTTAACACTGACATTGTATATGCCAACTTATTGCCATATTGGTATATTTGACGGGTCACTATTTTCTTATATAGCCTAGTTGCTCATGCCTTATTGTCAGGCTTGTTATACTCTATTCTTTCAAAATATCTACAAAATACAAAAATAATCCGAGAAATCATTAATATGTGTTTGTAGATATTTATGTGAAAAACGCAACCCTGTATTTTGAACATATAAAAGTTTTTTTCCTAAATATTGTTCCATCATCAACGCAGCCATCACTATAGCTACGAAACAATATTCTATTTTGATCTTAAAAAAACATGTCAACTTTAACCTCGTAAACATAATATCTTCTCATGTTTCTTTAATACTTGTTAATGGCTCTGAACTCGAAATCGAAAGAACTCTTGCTGGTTTTATATTCGCATGAATCGGCTATGTTGTGTCTTTGACTATACTTAATTGATACAATACTGTATTATAATGACTTATTACTCTGTGAATGGCAATTAATTTGTGCTCAGTCTATCGGAATTGAATTTAATTGAGATGTTCTTAAAGGATCATTTTACACGAAACGACAACACATACGATTTTTATCGACGAAATGCGTATAAAAAGATTTGAAATGTCGTCATAAACTGATTAACAAGAATAGTGTGGCGACAGCAGTCGTTTCACCGCCCGGATAAGAATCGTATGCGATAATTCGTTTGATATTCGTCTATGTATCATAAATGCGGCAAGCAGGCAATATATCTGCGTAGTTCGCTGACATGAAAGTTGTTTGCGTAGTATGTCTTGACATATGATACGCGTATATACGACATTGGAGAAAATATCAGGAAGATGAGTCTTGATATGTTCCCGTTATGATGCTCTAGCTAGTTCTTCTGTCTGGATGAGTCCTAAAAGTTACACTTACATGTGTGATCCGTCAGATAGATGAAGTGATTCATGAAAATTTTGTCTCGAACGTTTGATTGAAACATTGCAGCCACGGTGATTCGAAATATTGAAACTTCACCTTTGGGTAATTGTACTCAATATATTGAGTATTCTGGGTGAATCTTAAGTTTTTGAGTGACAAATGTACCAAAGTAATAGATTACACCTCTCTTCTCCATAATTTTCATATATTCTCTTTTAAACAAACTATAAAACGGACACCTCTCTAATTAATACGAACAACTTGCCAATTTAGTTCCCATTTTTTAGAGAAAGAGAGATCCGATTGTATATAAAACAATTATCAATTAATTTATAGTTTAAAAAGTCCAATTGTTTCCTAAGCCAAATCTAAAAGATAACAATCGGTATTATTCTCTGAAAGAATACTCCTCCACATGTGTTATGTCATCGTGCTGCCCACTTCCGATGGAGAAAAATGCAGCCGCAATTTGCGCGGATTCCGCATTGTTCACATACATACGTAACCTGGTTACCTTCATATCCCCTGCGTTGTACATCCCGTATTTATTTTAAAATCGTCTGGCTTAGTTAGAAACAGTTCCGCCTCAAAATTTCCTCCCTATAGTTTCATTATGCTTTTATCGCTGGCGAGTAAGTTCAAGTTTTCCCTGACAAGTTTACTTTCTCGTCTGTCAGTACGGTCCACAACTTTTCCTTGATAAGTTTCTTTTGAAGTTTTGTCGCTTGTGTGCGGGGAATGTTCTTGAATATTTCACGTCAAGACCGCCTTTTCTTTGTCAAAACATGTACGTTTTTCTTGTACACTTGTTCAGTCTTCCAACCCACCCTCTCGACATTCCCTGTGGGAGGAATAACCTGGAGAAAACCCACGACTTTTGGTAGGGCGTCGACTGACTTTTGTCACGTGTTTTTTTTTACTCGAACGATTGGGCCACCGAAGAAGATAGCTAAGCATTAGAATTGTGTATAAGAGTTATTTACTCGTCTAGATAGTTCTAATGTATAAATAATCTGTGATAACATGGTTGTTATAAGACCTGGTTAGGAAACCCAGCAAACTTCAAAGAAATTACGCTATAAACAAACATGGAGGTTGAACAGTCTGTTTGACCACTTTGACCCTGCACATATTGGTTTTAATCAATGAGAATTGACCAAACGATGTAACACAAACATTCTCCATCGAAAAATGGTAGTAATACTTCGTTATTGGCAAAATATGCCGTAAGATATAACTCTGGTAGGCAAAACAAACAGTTGGTACCCATTCCTTACGCCAAGCTGTCTGAACTGACTATTGTCAAAACAACTAGAAAGACAAAGGATTTTTCAACCGTGACCCTGCACAAGGTACAGAATCACCTAATGAATTGTTCTATGTCTTTTCCTCATGAATTATTAATATGTAGTACACACGTAAAAACGCACAAGTTGTAGCTGCAGCAGACTTGTAGCAATGCTGTTCCAACAACTTGTCAATGACGATGTGTTCGCACTGCTTGTTCCCAGCATGTTGACAACAAGCCGTAACAACAACTTGCTACAAGGTTATTGAGCTCAAAAGACTACAAGTTCTTCCAACAACTTGTTTCGTCCTGCAATTCAACAATTTGCCAACTAGTTGTGAGTGACACTACTGTTATTTTATCAAGTTGCTACAAGGTTGTTACTGTTTGTTGTTTTATTGTTTTTACAGCTTTATTACAACTTTTTTACAGCTTTGTTACAACTTACTTGCGAACACATGGTGTTGACAGGTTGTGAGATTTTTACGTATATAGGCTTGCACACAAATACCTGCACGTACCTTTATGGTTAAAAAAAGAAATATATTTCGGAATCTACGCCTAGTTCCTCACGTCGTAAAACGCTTCCCCCTGTGTGGGGCGTGACTTAGGTCCGGTGCTCGTTCCCAATCTCCGTATTTCCTTCGCGCGAAACATCGGCTTCTACATTCTATAAGGTTCATTTGGACCAACGTTGTGAAAAATATATGGTCATTTTTTAACCATTTTGGTTTCTTCGAAGCAAAATGCCTCTCGCACAGCTTGCAGACCCTTGGCGGAAGATGAATACCACGCCGATTTCAGAGGTTCGCAGAAATTCCTTTGCACACAAAGTTGATATGATACGGCTTAACAATCAATTTGGTGTAGCCGTGTTAAAATGGCTTCATTTTCATACCAATTTTGCTTATTTTCCTACAGGCTGCCGACGATCCTGTAGCGGACGAATGCAATAATGAAGTAAGGGTATTTCTTCTTTCATAACTTACCATTTTCTTGCCACTTTGTTGAAATTTATCACGTACAAATTTGGGTACAAATACGCGTTTGTGTGTGTACAATTTTATATGGACTCTCAATCAAGTATCGTTGCCCCCGTAGGTAAAAATGGATGAAGAACCGTCTTCAGAATTGGATATTTCCGCAGTTTTGGAGAAATCAAAGAGTTGCTTAAAAGCTGAACGCTCTCATTTCGAGCTACTGAAAGTGCTAGGCCAAGGATCGTTTGGCAAGGTAAGTATTTTGAATAAGTTATGAAGCGTATTGATATCACAAACTTATATTTTGGCCTGGTGTGTAATGTATATAACAGGCAATCAATCTTGGCTTGTTTCACAGTGGCTGTGGTTAACCCTGTGATAAAGAGAATGCCATATTTATAGTACCTTTTCTTACGTTTATTTGCTTATAAATGTGCCTAACACGTTCTTTATCGCAACAAAGGTGTTTCTTGTACGAAAAATCACAGGCAAAGACGCCGGAACTCTATACGCAATGAAAGTGTTAAAAAAGGCCACTTTAAAAGGTTTGTATCCTCTTGTATACTATAAAACCAAAGCTTTTTTCATAAGAAAGATCTATGTTATTTATATATGTGTTTAACGGTATATTTATTTGCTTATCATAAAACTTTTCAAGATCAGTCTTAATGCGCCGAAAATATTCAATATCAATATTTGGAAACTGTAATTTTCACGTATTATATTTCATGCTTCCAAATTAACAAAACACGCGGAATTCTAAGCTAAATCTTTACGCTATTGTCAAACATTTTGAATAATTGCCTATCCTATATTTTGATAATGGCGTGTAATTTTGAACAGTACACTATTAATTGTTTACACTGAATAATAATACAAATGTGCGAATATATCATTGAAAATTTTTGCATTTTTGTCCCAGTATGAAATCGTGAATCCCCCTGTGAACATTCGACTTGCAATCCTTAGGATATTTTTATATATTATTCATAATATTTATCAGTGGACGTTTGTGTTTTGTAAAATATTTTAGTATAGTTGTGCATTTCATAACATAAAAATCATGTAATATTCCACAGAATGTTGAAATGTTGCTATTATAGAGTTATGGAATGTTTTTATATTTTTGTGCGTTTGGGACCATTTAGATAGACTGTTTCATGACTATGTTTTAGTTTGTGAATGTTGCTTGTGATAATATGTGCATGTATATTGGCAATGTATCGCGTGACTTGTTGATATCTGATCAGTCTTTAGCGGAAGAAATATAAAAATCGATATTAATTGGAGAATATCGTGGAAAATGTTGGCCTTAATTAAGATGTAATTGTGATTATATCTCATGCATGTTTATTCTTGGTGTACAAGTTATGGCATTGTATGTTAGGTGAATTTGACAAAGGATTTTCCATGTTTGATGAAATTTTCTTTGTTCTTTCAATCTCTTGAGATGACTGCACAACACCTATTGTGTTTTTATTTAAATATATGCAAGCATTTAGAAATGTGCATATGTGCTGTATAAAACTGGTGTAGATTAAATATCTGGTTGTTGGCCGTCCACACTCAATATAGCTATAGTTGTAAAATGATTTTGTAGATGAAGACTTAACAAGGAACAGTTGTGAAAAATGCAACTATAGACATGAATTGAACCTACTGAACCTGCAGTTCTGTTGTAGATAATGTATATGTAGAATATGTCATTGTAAAAAAAATTTAGAGTTCTTAAAAGTATGCATAAACTTAATTTGTAAAGGGTGTTCTGCAGCATTAATCTTAAACACATAATTATCGCTCCATTCATATGAATAGTAAAAATAATGTGACTGCTAGCTGGTTGTATAATTTTAAATGCTGTTTTGCAATCCATTGATTGGTAGGGTGTGCTTGTCATTCTATAAATCCCAGACAACCTTTAATGTGACATATCTGACATGCCCTTTCCTGTCCTTAATTTAAGACATATGTTTTCAATATTGAAAATTCATTGTGATAGAAGTTCCAGAAAATATTTAGCTAGCCTTTTCAGTCAGTAAGTAGAATTTACTTTATATCTATGGGAAAATGGGTTGTTCCAGAAAAGGACCATGCACACTGCCTCCAAGGAGGATATTTCTGCCCCCCATCCAAAGGGGGGGGGGGGGATGAAAATTTTCTTCTGATAATAGTAAATGCATAAGGATGTCTGTAGGGGGGGAGGTAACTTTAAATTTCCACCATAGGGGAGGTTATGGATGTTTTCTGGAATGACCCATTGAATATTTTAGAAACACTAGCTTCCATTGCGACTGCTGTAAATAATTTATATATTTATTTCAGTTCGGGATCGAGTGAGAACAAAAATGGAGAGAGATATTTTGGTCGACGTGCAACATCCATTTATAGTTCACCTTCATTATGGTAGGTCATGAGGAAATTACATCACAGAGATACCCATCTTGAGAGGAGTGAACCATGTGTGCATATATTGGCCCCAAACACAGACTCTGGCTTTGTCAATGATCCAAGCAAACAACTGCATGAGTGGGCCCCAATGTATGGTCTATATTGGCCCCCAAACACAGACTCTGCATGGCTTTGTCAATGACTCAAGCAAACAGCTGCATGATTGGGCCCAAATGCATGGTCTGCTAATTCTTTTCACTCTGTTGCCACACAATTTCCTTCATAAAGAGCAAAAGCTTTGGGTGTGAATTAGAATTAGTTTTAAAAACCATACAACCTCCCCACATCTCTTGTTAATTAATTAAATTAACCCATTGAGTGCCAGCACTTTCCCCTTGATGAATAAATTGTTTGGAGTGCATATTACGAGCATATGCATACAATTTATGTTTCAGCATTTCAAACAGAAGGCAAGCTCTATCTTATCTTAGAGTTCCTTAGAGGTGGTGATCTTTTTACAAGATTATCAAAAGAGGTATAAACATATTTTGATCACTTAATTGATAGGTATTATAATGACGGGATTCGATTCGATTCGATTACAACCATATTGGCTATCTTATGGCTATCTTTTGTACCTGGGAATCTTATAGTTCTTTCAAGTTTTTTGCCTTAAATGTCATAATATATAATAATGCAATATAGCTTAATATGCAATATAGCTTAATATGCAATATAGCTTAATTTTATTAAAAAATATTCATCCAGTGATATAATGACTTCTTATGTACTCTTGTCAGATCTTGCTCTTAAAGTTTGAAAATTTCCATCTTGTGTGATCATTGTTTTTATATGTTGTCTCATCTGACTTTCGTTCTGTTATGTTAGGTGATGTTTACTGAGGAGGATGTCAAATTTTATCTTGCTGAATTGGCCATTGCTCTTGATCATCTTCATAAAGTGGGAATTATTTATCGAGATTTAAAACCTGAAAAGTAAGATTGAGTCATTGAGATATAATCATGAACAGTGCCAGTGTAGGTAGACTTGCAATAATAAGAAAGCTTTGGATTTATAGGGATACAACTACTGAAAAATACAAGGAGAACTTCGATGTTACAAGCAAAAGCCCTTTGTTGTGCTAGCTTTGCTCAAAACAGCAAACTAATTTTCTTTGTATTTTTTCATGAAGTTGCATCTGTATCAATGAGAAGTTTTCTGAGTCATTGTTGAATAAGTACAGTTCACTAAGGTAGTTTAAAATTCAATTAAGACTATAGACTGTATGCTCATACTCTATTGTTGTGTTTTAGCATATTATTGGATAGCGATGGACATATTCAATTGACTGGTAAGCACTGTCAAATAGCATGCCTCTTCTAAATGTGCTAAACAATGACCTTTCACCTTAATCCTATCATGTAGGCAACTGATCTTTCAATGGGAGACATTTTTATTTGTGAAGTGGGTGTTGGCAGCAAGGGGTTTACCCATTAAACACCAGCACTCTCTCCTTGACAAGTAAAAGTGTCTGGCTTTAGAGTAAAATTATAATAAGGTAGGCACATTGGAGCACATGTTGCTGAGTTGGGGCAACATTAACCCATTGAGTGATAGCACTTTTAAAGTAAAATTATAATAAATTAGGGTGCATTAGGGCCAATGCAACTGAATGGAAAACATAATGTATGCATGCATGCAGTGTTATATTTTCCTCTATCTATTTTCAGACTTTGGATTGTGCAAAGATTCAGTTTATGACAAGAAAACATATTCATTTTGTGGAACTGTTGAATACATGGCGCCTGAGGTACGACTACTAAATTGTATAATTTAATACAGCACGTATGTTAACCAAAATCATGCAGTATTGTTAGTAAATGTGTAGACCATCTGATTGTCTCACAACTAATTTTCCCCATTTGTAAAATGCTTACTGTGTTTTGCTCAGGTTGTGAACAGACGAGGTCACACACAAGCTGCTGACTGGTGGTCTTATGGTGTTTTAATGGTACAGTACATCTTTATCATTACTCTCAAGTGCTGGTTCTTATAATTTAAAACTTTGGAAGAATGTTGTGCTTAGATTTCTGGATATTTAATAAATTGTTGTTCATTCTTTAGTTTGAAATGTTGACTGGTTCACTACCGTTTCAAGGAAAAGACCGAAAAGATACCATGACTATGATTCTAAAGTAAGATTTTTAAACTGTCAGCTTAGATAAGATCCCTCCTAGATAGCATTTACCAACCAAAGCTGATTTCAGCAAGTAGTTAAAGCAATTGTTTTCTTTGCATTACTTTGCCTGAAGGATAAAAGTAACATTTTCAATATATTTCCAGAGCAAAACTTGGCATGCCACAATTCTTGAGTGCAGAAGCTCAAAGTTTACTGCGAATGTTGTTCAAGAGAAATCCAGCCAACAGGCTAGGTAAGATTTTGATAGAAATTTTATCGATGTCTGTTGCATCTGTCTGTAAATTAAGACCGATTTTCACTACACAGCTTCTGCGTAAAACTGTCACATGCAATCTGCTTCAAGTTGTAAACAGGTTGCATGCGACAGTTTAGGGCAAAAGTTGTGTGGTGTAAATCTGCTTGTTGTTATGTCAGAAGAAAATGAATTTTTTGTTTGTTTCTTCATCCAGGAGCTGCTGAGAATGGAATTGAAGACATAAAGAAGCATACATTTTTTGCTTCAATTAACTGGGAGGTAAATTTCATCACATTGTTAAATGTTGCATGAACTTTTGTTTATTTAACCCATTGAGTGTTGCCACTTTTTCCTTGACAACGAAAATCATCTGTCATTATAGACGGAGTAAAATAACAAAGCAGGGCCGTACATATTAGGATGCAAGAGCAGCAAGACAGTTAACCCTTTTAGTGGCAATGCAATTTTACTCATCAAGGGGGGAGTGCTGTCGCTCAATGGGTCAACATATTTACTTACGCCATTACAGTCCATTTCATGGGTTAACTTAATGGGTTAAATTCAATAACTATACTTCAAAATAACTGTTGAAACATAATTTTCAGAAACTTTTAAAAAAAGACTTGAAACCTCCATTTAAACCTGCTGTTCGAAGAACCGATGATGCTTATTATTTTGATAAGGAATTCACCTCGAAAACACCAAAAGGTAAGGAAGTAACAGCAAAACTCCGAACAATATGTACACTGTACAAATGTTGTACATGTTTGTTTGCAAGTATATATTAATTGGACATATATATTTTCAGATTCACCTGCTATTCCGCCAAGTGCAAACTGTCATCAGCTTTTCCGTGGCTTTAGTTTTGTCAGTCCAACACTACTAGAGGTATGTACTGTATTTAAATCTTCAACAGCCAGAAGCGGATACAGCTACCTGAAAATGCAAGGAGAAGTTCGAAATTTTGAGCGAATGCCCTGGTTTTGTTGGCTACGAACTTCCCGATGAAGGGCCTTCGCTCGAAACGTCGAAGTTCTCCTTGTATTTTTTAGGTCGTTGCATCCCTATTAATCCGAAGCTTTTGTATTTAAACTTTCATTCTCTGACTTTGACATATAATGATTGAATGGTGATGAGCTTGTACTCGTGAATAATATGAATACTTGGTGTTTCCTAGGAAGGTGATAAGAATGGAGGATTGGAAAGCATGGACATTGATAGTGGGGTAAGTACTTTTTCTACTAGCTGGAAATATTGGAGAAGATTTGCATTGAAAAGGTATTGCTCGAGGTGCACTGTAATCAACATATTCTTTTATAATATAGCATTTATAAACCAGTTTCCACTCTTGTCGGTATAACTGTATATCAACATGGAAATTAAATATTTTATATTTGTTAAATATAACCTTTGCATTGCAAGTAAATTATTGTCATTCAAAAGATTTGTTGTATTTTCTTAATATAGTTCAGCAGCTTGTCATCACAGTTTCCTGGTGTTTCTACATCTTTTTTTGATGAATACGAAATGAAAGAGGTACAGTTTGTGTTACAATACAATATACAGTACTAGAAACTAACCTTTCTACATTACCTGTGCTTAGACATGCAGCCGTAGGCCAGGGTTCGAATTAACAGATAGCGAATCATTTTGCTACTCATTTTGCTATACAGTAATGTAAAAAAATCACTATTCAACCAGAGAAGATTTCACATGTGAAAAAGTAAAACGGATAACATTGGAAACATTTGTTTTCAAACAATTCTTTGTGTATTTTGAGGCGAAACATTCTCTCATATGCAGTGATATTTCTGAATTTATGATATACATAACTACCAAAAAAATGAAGACTGCTGAATCTTTATTTTTATAACAGCCTTTCTGGTTGAAGATCGAATGCTCAATACTTTTTTACTGTACATAGTGGAAATCCGCTATTCACTTTTTATTGCATGAGTCAATGAGTAGAAATTCGCTATTAAATATTTAATTCGAACCCTGCCATAGCCAATGACGTTTGAGCTGCGTCCTTCGCAAGTCAGCCCTGAGACAGCTGCAAGTAAAGATTATTAGCATTCCCTACCTTACCCCTTTGCCTGCCCTGATCTACGAATTATCATAAAGTTTAGTGACTAAAATACTATTTTCTTCTTCAGGAAATTGCTGTTGGTTCATATTCAGTTTGCAAAAAATGCATTAACAAATCAACAGGCAAAGAATATGCTGTTAAAGTAAGTGCATTAAACAAGATATCATGAAAATTGTTTTGCGTGAGTGATAGAACTAAAGTGTTGACTGGATTTGTCATTTGTCTTTTTTCTCTCAGATTATCGACAAACTAAAGAAAGACCCACGGGAGGAAGTCGAGGTAGGTCTGAGATGGACTGGGTACTAGGTCTAGGATTTCAAATCTCGCTCAATGGACCCTTCCTGAAAGTACTCAGCCTTTGCAATAGAACCTTGTTTTTGGGATTGAGATATTGGCTTTAGAGACCTTTATCTTGTTGCTGGTGATCTAATTATAGAAAGGTCTTTTATGTTATCTGATATTATTATTGAATAGCTAACTTTGGCTCGGAGGCGGGCGTAATTTACAAACACTGGGTTATATTGTATTGATTGAACTTTGTATGTATATTATGTTCAGATTCTACTAAGATTTGGTGGAAAACATAATATAATGGGTATACGAGATGTAAGTAACGTTCTTATGTACTTTTTGTAATGTTCTATAACTTTTGTATATTCATTCATCTTTGGGTACCATTCAGTCATGACCCAGTGATCGAAATGTTCCATTGTCTTTTCATTGTTTTGAAAATATCACTGTTCTCTATGCCATCCAATCGTGACCCAGTGATTGAAATGTTCCATTCATTGCTTTGAAAATATCATGTAAAAATCTTGCTGTTCTCCATACCAACCAGTCACTTATTGTTCAACCTTCTTGTAGCATTCTACAAAAGGCTATAAAAGTGAAGTAATTACACAAGCAGAAAATTGTCTAATACTAATTACTGTATATCATCTTTCCAGGTTTATGAAGATGTTAAAAATGTTTTCATCGTGGCCGAACTGATGCGAGGGGGCGAGTTACTGGACAGAATTGTGAAACAAAAGAATTTATCCGAGAGAGAAGCTGCCAATATAATGTACACGTTAAGCAGTGCACTTGCGTACTTGCATAATGAAGGGGTAGGGAACATTTTAAGCCATTATGTATAAACCAAACTAGCTATGTTAGTATGTTTATCCTGGATCTCCAGTGATCTTCTTTCCATATAATATTGTCACAATGTTTCTACAGAGCGGAATAAAAAACTTAAGCAATTTTATTTCTGCTTGATAACTCTATACCATCACTTCTAAACTGGTCTCTCTCTATGTCGGGGATAATGGCCATCTCTTATTTTGTCTTGAGAAAATCTCCATTGTCTGGTAAACAAACTGCAGGAAGCGCTCGTATGTGCTGGGGTGAAATTATAATCAGACAACTGAATACTGCAGGAATTCAATGCGAGTTAGAGAGGTGAAACACGCATCCATTGTGTCACCAACATGCTTTGATTTAATCTCTGTAATCGTAATCCTAGCTCTATTTGCATTTAACTGGGCAATTCATCGTGATCTTAAACCAAGCAATATGCCATTATGTGTTTCTTTAATCCCACTCTAATCTATCCTAATCTTAATCAGGTAGTTCATCGTGATCTTAAACCAAGCAATATACTATACCGTTACGTGTTTCTTTAATCTCATTCTAATCCATCCTAATCTTAATCAGGTGGTTCATCGTGATCTTAAACCAAGCAATATCATGTATCTGGATGATAGTGGTTCAAATGATGCTTTAAGGATTATTGATTTTGGTTTTGCGAAACAACTTCGTGCTGATAATGGATTATTAATGACGCCATGTTATACAGCCAACTACGTAGCGCCCGAGGTGAGTTGACTATCAATGAGAAATACCAAATCAGGCATATATATTTGACGACTGCATGTGAACAAGACGTTTTACCATTTAGTTATGTACTGATTTTTTAGGTTCTCAAGAAACAAGGCTACGATGTTGCTTGTGATATTTGGAGTTTGGGAGTTTTACTTTATACCATGCTTGCAGGGTAAGTAGTTACTGATGTGGATTATTATATCTGTCTAAACTGTTCTTGTTGGGTCCATTGTTCAGACTAACTGCATTCACCTTCCTCACATGCAACCAGGAATGGATGTAGTTGTGGGGATCCACCCTGCATGTGACTGAGGCGAAATTACAGTATTATCAGGAAACCGCTGCAAATTTCAAAAAGGTGAAGGCAAACCCCTGTTCAGGGAACTGACGGTTTAACACACGATTTTGGTTTTTGTATTTCTACACGTCTGTTTGGTTCAAGAGTATAAAACTTCTATTGATCCAGATAAGATTTCTAGAAAAATATTTCCAGTTATATTATTACGTTAACCCAGGATTAAAGCGCGACTAACCACAATCAGTATAATTTCAGTATTGAAAATGGCCTTTGAGCATTCTGATTGGCTCCCTCAGAAGTAACTCTGAGCCAATAGTTACTGCTCAGACTGCTCTGAGTAGTAACTGTTCCTTTTCTCCCAAAAAAAACATTCGAAGAAGAAATGTAATATATCTTTATAATAAAAAATCCCATCTTGACCAAACTTTTCCACTGTCAAAGTTTTCGGATATGATGTCATTAGGTGAATTGCAAATTAGTTTTCCTTTGTAGCAAAAATTCACCTAATGACATCATATCCGAAACTTTGACGGTGAACAAGTTGATCAAGATGAGGTTTTTTACTATAAAGATACAATACATTTCTTCTCAGAATCTCCCAAGTATTACACTTACCAAAAATTATATTTGGAGTTAGTCGCACTTTAAGAAAACTGGTCTTCGAACAATCGGGCTCAGGTACTGAATTTCTCATCCGGTGCTCCTTTCAGATACACGCCATTTGCTCACGGAGCTGAGGAGAACGCTGGTCAAATTCTCAAGAGAATTGGAGAAGAGAAGTTGGTATTATCTGGAGGAAACTGGGACACTGTCTCAGAATCCGCAAAGAATTTAGTTCGTCATATGCTACACATAAATCCTGCTAAACGATGCACGGCACAACAGGTAAGAACACTTCGTATCTTTGCATCCTATGGGTCGAGAAAGAGGTCCCTTATTTTTCCTTGTGCAACTAAAAGAGGAAAGCGAACTTCATTTACAGCACTAACTTCATTATTATTAAATTACTCGTTGTGTTCCTTTAATAATCATGACTTGTTTATGTATATTATTGTAATGAAAGACAAATCCGTGGCGACATTGGTAGCAAAGTGTTGCTATAATGTCCTAACAAATTTTGATCAATTATGACTATTATAATTCTAAATTTTAATCCAGTCTCTCTGTAAATTTAATATGTTTTCTATTCTTTGTACTAATATTAGTAGCTTATAACTCTAAACATTTCTTCTCAAATCTACCTAAGAGTCATCCACGAAACCAATCTCTTCCATTTTTAGACTGTCTCGCATCCGTGGATAGTAAACAGAAACTCCTTACCGCAAAATAAATTGACGCTATCTAGCTCTGTGACAAAAATTAAGGTAAACATCTTGAATCAAACGCAGTTAAACGTCCATTATCAAATCTTTATTTTACTAATTGCATGTTTTTGTCATCTTTCGTAGGACGCATTCAAAGCAACATTCTCAGCGCTAAACTCAAGTCCCGAATCAAGAAAATTAAAACCTGTTCAGACTTCATCACTCGCGCAACGAAGAACCGGGAAAATGAAGCCACTTGTCAAACAATCCAACGTATGACCCCACAAAACCCTTATCCCCCCTTTGGATACCCGTGTGAATCCTTAGATACACCAAGATCACTTGAAAACCCTTATGAACCCTGTATGACCCATGATGCACCAAGAAATTTTGTACAGTATTTTGCTATGAGAACATGTGTTGCATATTCTATAAATAAGTACAAATGAAATTACGTCACCATTATACCTGTATATGACGTCATAATTTATAGAATAACGCGCAGAAATGTCGTCTAAATTCACGGATATTTTGTAAATGCTATTGTTTTGTAATTTTTCACAATGCGTACATTTTATAGTAATTGGTAGTGATTTAATCAATAATGTCAATAGTAGAAATGATACTGTGAAATTGATGATTTACAAATACTTTCACCACGAAGTATTTGTAAGGTTGTGGAGTTTGTGCCAGACGGCACCTAAAAGTGTGTATAAAAATTGAAATAAAATGTTCATTTTGGCAGAAATATGATGCTTCATATAATAACTTTCATTGGTCGAGAGCCATGATCTATTAGATGACGTCACACAAAACTTTGTTCACAGTGTGACATGTGGGAGAACAAAAGAACAAAAAAGCGACCCACTCGCCTCGGCAGCTCGTAAGCCACATCTGTGAGTCTAATGAGAAATGACCAGCCTACTTTGCGCGCACTGTTTGCCTGCGAATCTAGCCTGCAAACAGGCTCTTTGAATTGAAATTTCAAAGAGAAGCCTGTTCGCAGGCTACTGCGAATCTGGCACAGCTCAGTGATCTGGCCTTTCAGAACTTGAAATTGGGCTGGAGCACGCCTTCGTTCTTTTGATTGCCATGGCATAAGAAGCACGACAAAATAATGGCAAAATTTGCACGATGCGCGTTTGCAAAAAAACAACTGCAAAATGCTAATTCTGTCACTTTCATTTGATTGTTCTTCCCCCATTATGACGTCGTACTGTCTTTTGATTGTTCTTCCGCCATTATGACGTCATACTGGAACTGAACAGACAACGTACTGAAAATAGTCATGTTTAATAATGGCTATCTTTAAAACGGGGAACGGGGAATGGGGGAAGGGAACGGGGAAGGGAACGGGGAAGGGAACGGGGAAGGGAACGGGGAAGGGAACGGGGAAGGGAACGGGGAAGGGAACGGGGAAGGGAATGAGCGGGGAATGGCCGGGGAATGAGCGGGGAATGGCCGGGGAATGGCCGGGGAATGGCCGGGGAATGGCCGGGGAATGGCCGGGGAATGGCCGGGGAATGGCCGGGGAATGGACGAAATCGGGAAAAAACCTAACATTTTGAAGATTTTTGATTAAATATTTTCATGAATTGTTTTCGTTGCGTTATGGCAAATGTAGCAATGAAGTAAATCGAAATTACAGTAATAGGATTAGGCGACCGAAGCTTGTTGTTTGTGTAAATGACGTAGTTCCTTTTGGGAGAGGCCAAGGCTCCCACGCAATTGTATCATATAAGATTGTGCTTTATTTAATAAATGGCTCGCCACTCTGGCTTTGACTCCGCGCACTTGTTTTGCATTGACATTGTGCTCGGCACGTTACAAATATTAAACCATAGCTATAGTAGACCCTACTAGACCGCAATATGTAGATGTTTATACGATCTTATCATTCTGATGTTGATTTATTGTTTGGCTTGAATAAACCAATATTTGTCAGTGTTAACTATACAAGTAATCAGCCGATCCGCACATTATAAGCCAATAAAAGTAATGGTATAACGCAAGACAATGCCATTAGCATATTGGTCATATTGGAATTGAATTTTACGCATATTTATACTCCTAACCCACAGCCCCAGCTCTATACACTGCAAATAAATTATTGGATACAATCATACAAATATTTTATTGATACGTTCTTCATATACAACGTGAGGATCGGGTAACAGTATTAATTCCAATGTCACTGTGCGGCGTATAGCTATAGGAAGCGCGGCGTTTAAAAACCTGGCGAAAATCTGTCATTAAATGTAATTTGTGTCACACAACATTTTTTTAACCTTCAGGTAAATTCTTGCTGTCCAGTTATATGCTAAAAATTTAATTTCATTTGTAATGATGACATTTCAATCCAGTATTTTTTCGAAATTTGATCTTACATTCTTACTAAGCTTTACATTGTGCTTAGATAGGAAGCGCACATTGAAAACTATGCCCAAAGTGCCACATACTCAAATGACAAAAGGTGAGATAAAATAGTGTAATACGTCAGCAAACAGCTTTTGGTTGCCGACATTCAAAATGTCTGGAGTACAGGGAAGCTTTAAATTTCCTTCACTAATAAAAAGGCGAAAAATAGATCACTGTTTACCCACATTTAGTTTGGAATCACTAAAACATGTTGAAGAAATTGGCAGTGGTGCTTTCGGGGTATCTTAACCTCTCTATTGTTACGTGATACGGTTTTGATCAATCGTCGAACAGAGAAATTGAACTTTGACAAAAACTATATAACAAGGTCTATTGTCTTGCGTTGTACTTACAATGTGTGGTCCGGCTGATTACTTGCCATAACGCAACGAAACGAAACGACATTTACACAAACAACATAGCTTCGGTCACCTAATCCTATTACTGTAATTTCGATTTACTTCAATGCTACATTTGCCATAACGCAACGAAAACAATTCATGAAAATATTTAATCAAAAATCTTCAAAATGTTAGGTTTTTTCCCGATTTCGTCCATTCCCCGTCCATTCCCCGTCCATTCCCCGTCCATTCCCCGGTCATTCCCCGGCCATTCCCCGGTCATTCCCCGGCCATTCCCCGCTCATTCCCCGCTCATTCCCCGGCCATTCCCCGCTCATTCCCTTCCCCGTTCCCTTCCCCGTTCCCTTCCCCGTTCCCTTCCCCGTTCCCTTCCCCGTTCCCTTCCCCCATTCCCCGTTCCCCGTTTTAAAGATAGCCGTTTAATAATGTTATTGTTGTTGTCTCTATAGAGTTTAGGATTAGAACCAGATTGGAAAAAAGTTGTAACTTTATCTGTTTTTATAATATAGCATTTGTAAATTCTGAACGCTGATTGGCTAAGAGCCGTGTTGATATAACTCCATGTCAACACGGGAAATTTTCCGCCGCTTGTAAACACGGAAATTTTTCTTATTCTTCGGGCTTTTGACATTGCTATATTATAAACCAAATATAAAACATTTTTTCCGTATTGATATATAGTTATATCAACACTCGTGGAAGTTGGGAAAACTCGAAATTGTGTGAAAACACTCCGCCCTTCGGGCGTCGTGTTTCCACACAATTTCTCGTTTTCCCAATTTCCACTCGTGTTGATATAACTGTATATCAACACGGAAAATGTTTTATATTTGTTAAATGTCACACGGAATTCTCACTTCCGGCGAGCGCTGGCAAGTGTCGTTCTGAAATTTAATAAGGAAAGAGATAGGAAAACGCCGTTCGAAAGACGAAAAATTGTTTTTTTAAAAAATCTACGCTACCGACGGCTATTTTTGGAATTAATTCTTCAAGAGTATCGGTAAGCGATCACTTTTATTGATTTCTTTTTATTAAAAGTGTTAATATAACATTTTATTTAGCAAAAGTTTGTTTTTTTCCCTATCTACTTCTTATTAAAATCGTGAAATACACTTGCTGGGAATTTCAGATGCTCATGTATAATAACAAAACAGCGAATGATATAAATTCCTCAAAACATGACTCTGGCATAAAAAAACATGAATACTTCTATAATATGTATAGTTTTATTTCTCTGCTTTATCAAAATTTAATAAAATAGTGAATTAATACAATTTTAAAGTTTATTTAATCGGTGTGACATAATTTGACGGAAGATTCACATCTGTATCTACCTCATCTGTGACGTCATTGAATCAACTTCAATCGCCTGAAGATCGCTTCGAAAGAAGCGTGAAACACAGTGTAGCGACAAATATATTTTAAGATTAAAGAATTATTTAAGCTCTATCGTATATTGGTATTGAGCACGCTTCGTTCAATTACGAACAACATATATATATATATATATATATATATATATATATATATATATATATATATATATATATATATATATATATATATATATATATATAAAAAACTCATTAATAATTCAGGACGAAAACACAAAGAAAAATCATAAGCGTGTCGTATCTTTATATGTGATAAAAAATCATGTTCATTTACATAAACTTTAGCTTTGATTTTCTCGGTTTAGACAAAATTTATTTTAAAAAATACTTCGCCAATGAACTCATATAAGATGAGTCGTTTTTTAAGCCATTTAAAGCACTTGTAGTCGTGTTTTATCATATATAAAACGCTCGGCTGCGCCTCGCGTTTTATATCTGATAAAACACTCCTACTCGTGTTTTAAATAGTACATAATATATTTAAAATACTCATTAAAAATTCATAAACCTTGTGGCAAATCATGTCAGCCATAATATGTCACGTGGAGTGACTTTATATCTGATAAAACTCATCTTCATTAGTATTCTTTATATAATTGTTCATCCTATAATTAGTATTCTTTTGTAGTCGTATTTTAAGCTATTCAAAACAAGAGAAGGAGTGTTTTATCATATCTATAAAACGCCCGGCTTCGATTATATATATATATATATATATATATATATATATATATATATATATATATATATATATATATATATATATATATATATATATATATATATATATTTAACAATTATATTATACCATGAGCTCGAGTCGTATATGAGCTGATAGCCGATGAGGTGCGTAGCACCGAGTCGGCTATCAGCCATATACGACGAGAGCGAATGGTATAATTGTTTTATAGTCTAAGAGCCATTAACTGAGGTATTAATTAATTATCTTCTGTTACAATGTTTTGACAATTTGTTGGGCTAAAAACCGCTTGACCTTGAAAATTTGAAATACTTTTAACTTTTGTTTTACAACTCGAAGACGAAGTGAAAGAAATGGTTTTAGAACCGGTATATCTCACAGAAAAGCTCAGATATATTATACAGATGTTTGGTAGTATAGTAAGTGCTTGCTGACTGAAAATTCATTTGTCTTTCGTTGCAAACTATCCTG